CAATAAAGAGTAATAACAGACCAATTGAATCAGGAATAAAACACCTAAAAACCATAACAGCCCTGGACCAGATGGATTTGATTCTACCAAAGGTGCAAATAAGAGCTAGTACCAATCCTACTGAAATTATTTCCAAAAATCAAGGAGGAAGGACTCCTCTGTAACTTATTTTATAAGGCCGGCATCATTCTGATACCAAAACCTGGCAGAGACACAACAAAAAAAGAAAAATTCAGGCCAATATCCCTAATGAACATAGATGCACAAATTATCAACTTAGTACAGCAAACTGAATTGAGCGAGCAGCACCTCAAAAAGTTAATTCACCATGGAGAAGTAGGCTTTATTCCTGGAATGCAAGGTTGGTTTAACATATGCAAATCAATAAGTGTGATTTATTATGTAATCAGAATTAAAAACAAATGCCACATGATCATCTCAACAGATGCAGGAAATACTTTTGATAAAATTCAACATCCCTGCATGTTAAAAACTCTCAACAAGCTAGGCATTGAAGCCACAAACCTCAGAATAATCAGAGCCATATATGGCAAGCACACAGTGAACATCATAGTGAACAGGCAAAAACTGGAACCATTCCCACTGATAACTGGAACGAGAGAAGGATGCCAATTCTTACCACTCCTGTTAAACACAGTATTGGAAATTCTAGCCAGAGCAATTATGCAAGAGAAAGAAACATAACACATTCAGATAGGAAGAGGTCAAACTATCTGTTTGTAGACTGTATGATTATCTAGGAAACCTTACATAGTTTCTGTCCAAGAGCTCCTACATCTGATAAAACAACTTTAGGAAAGTTTCAGGATATAAAATCAATGTACAAAAATCAGTAACATTTCTATACACCAAAAACATCCAAACTGAGAGCCAAATCAATGCCATTCACAATAGCCACAATAAGAATAAAATATCTAACATTTAACCAAGGTGATGATAGGTATCTACAATGAGAATTACAAAGCACTGTTGATAGAAATTAGAGATGACACAAACAAATGGAAAAACATTCCATGCTCGTGAATAGGAAGAATCAATATTGTTAGAATGGCCATACTGCCCAAAACAATTTATAGATTTAATCCTATTCCTATCAAATTACCAACATCATTTTTCACAATTCAAAAAAAAAAACTATTCTAAAATTCATGTTGAACCGAAGAACCTGAATTGCTAAAGCAATCCAAAGCAAAAAGAGCAAAGCTGGAGGCATCACGCTACCCAACTTCAAACTATACAAGGCTACGATAACCAAACAGCATGGTAAGGGTACAAAAACAGACAGGTAGACCAATGGAACAAAGTAGAGAACCCAGAAATAAAG